GTAACGGAGTTTCGTAGCTATGAAATATTGAACTTTGAAGGAAGAGAAAAGTGAAATTCATTTTTTGAAAAGCTTTTGCTATAGACACAAAGGAAGCGATTTACTGGGAAAAAAAAGAAATCGTGGTTTTCGCAGAGTATCCGAAAACTCTGCCATAGCTTTGCAAAATAGCATAAGCTCACCTTTCTAAGCTATCACCATCAACAAACACTTGCTGTAGAACAGGGCTACGAATATATACGCTTTCAATTTTTTCTGGAGCTACATATTCACCCTGGAAATATTTCAGGTTTTAAATGTACTTGATAAAGTTTTTTCCCTCTGAGAGAAAAAGCTTTACCTGCGCTAGTTTGAATATATGCTTCGCCCGGTCTATGATTCTGATTGTGCCATTCGGCAGCATTTCACCGATATCTCCACTATGGATAAAACCATCTTTATCGAACAGCTCCTTGGTCTTTTCAGGATCTTTGAAATAGCCTTGGGTAACGTTTGGCCCTCGAATCATAATCTGAAACTCATATTTTCTTTACAACTAAGTCTAACCTTTGAAGAAGGAGACATTTTGGAAACTTCTTAAAAATTCTAGCATTATCAAGGGTGAAGCTGTAATTCTTGGGTATTTCATCGATTTTATAAATTAGACTTTTCATCAGTAGGACATACCTCTCCTTTCCCATCTTTGGCATAGTAATTTAATTCTGGAACGTCAATAAGTTTTATATTACAACACGTTGAAACACCTCCACAGTGGCCACCAGTCCAATCCCCGAGCCAGCCAAGCGTAGCTATAGCTGTGCTTTCTGTTTGTCCATAGGCTGAAAAATGGTTGCTTTAGGTTTTTCAGGTTTTACATGTTGAATATATTCAAAAAAATATTATGCTTTGGGATTTTGGTTGACAAAACTCTTAAAATCGTTAATCAACCTCTAGAAGCCGTTAGTTTACCCTTATTTCAGATGTTACAAGCTTTAGAGTAGGAGAATAAAACAATATTGGTTCATATTCTAGAACAGCAACCGAAGTTATCCTTGTATGCAAATTCTTT